AAACACTCGCTCCGCTCTGCTCCGCTCGTGCTTAAAATACTCGTTACTAAAAGGACGTTTATAACACTTGTTACATAATATACTATTATGGATTATGGCATTATTTATTATACATTTTGAAAATACTGGTGTCATACAGTGTGACCCACTTCTAATGGAAGGATCCTGAAATTTGCTGGAGCGAGAGATATACCAAAAATGCAATCTATGACCAAGTGGGGTCATCTTCAGTGATATACACTGCTCGCCAACAGCTATGAAATAGTTTCATGGCTGTTGGCGAGCAGTGTATATCACTGAAAATGACCCCACTTGGTCATAGAGTGCATTTTTGGTATATCTCTCGCTCCAGCAAATTTCAGGATCCTTACCCAACGATTACGTAAGATACAGGGGTGGTTCCATTAGAAGTGGGTCACACTGTATAAAAAGAAAAAACTCTCATGAATTAATTGCATCTTTATATGTTTATTCGAAGATGTTCTCAGGTATCTCATCGTAAATTTCAACTCCTACTTGAATAATCGCGTTCGTTGGGCCCATAAATTTCGTAAAGTGCATGCTAGTGAAGCCTTATTTTCGTGTTTCTCGAAAACATGCTCCGTATTTCTTCTTTTAACTGCTAATGGTAATTATTGTGGCAAACGGGAAGTTCATAACATTTTGTTCGAAAATTGTGCAAGTCTACACGAAACCCTGTGATTATTGCCAACAATCGTGTTGAAAGACATTATCATGCAAAAAGTGGATTGTCTTCGTTTATTCGATGAAAATTCACTTATAAATAATGAAATTAATCTGAAACTTCAAAATAAAATATGTTCACTTTGTAGGTATACTGGTCTGTACGGCCCTGTGATATGCCGTCATTATTAAAATCTTTAATTGTACATACCTGTACATCTCGTTACTTCTATTATAGTATTTGTAGCATTGTGCTCTTCAAAAAAAAGAAGAAGAAGTCCATTGCTGTAGAAGATATTTATGGCCCTCTGTACTCAGGAGTGGGACCGATAACAAGAACCAGAGGCGTATTGCAAAAATATTGAAACTAAACTGGGCAACTCTTATACGCCCAAATAATAATTGTGGTCCAGGACAACACATCTCCGGAATGACATCTTTGAGATATAAAATAATAAAAAAATAAAATAAAAATCGTTTATTGTCCAAACAGGAATATACCCACTTAGAGGACAGATTCAAAAAAATATATACAATGTTTGTTACAATAATGCTACAATATAACATGAGTAATGCGATCGCGATTTCATTTAAGGTGTCAAGAAAGAAGTAAATGGTGAAATATCTATATTCAAAATATCATTGATAATATTGTTAAGATTTGTGATAGATCGGGTTAACTAGAATCGTATGTACTGATATAAGTAAACAAAATTGCGTTTGAATCCATTCGAAATTAATCTTGATTGTTCAGTAGTATACATTTGAGTTGATTTTTAAATTGGCTTAAGGAGTGCGAATACAATTGTGTTGTGCTACAATATTTGTTGAATTCATTACACATAGAGTATATTGGTGAATTGGCCGATACATTAGTTCTAGGTGTATTGAGGTAAAAACATATCTGATTTCTAGCATTATGTCTTGGTACATGAAAATTCAGTTGGGATAATAATTCAGGACAATCAATCAGGTTATTGACTAGTTTGTACAAAAAAATGCATGAGTAATATGTTCTACGGCTTTCTAGAGACAGGAAATTGAAACGTTTCAGTAGAGCATAGTTGTCAAAGCCTTGATTAGGATATACTCCATCTAGTTTCCATGACATATACTTCATAATAATTCTTTGGACCGACTCTATCTGTTGAATATGTGTGTTGTAGTATGGTGACCAGATTAAAGAACCATATTCAAGTTTTGACCTAACATAAGCCACATATAGTGCTTCGAAGCATTTGATGTTAGTGAAATCTTTACAGCTCCTGAATATGAATCCTAGCATTTTTTTGGCAGATGCTGTTGTTTTGTTAATGTGATACGAAAAATTAAGTTTGTCGTTAAAGTAAACTCCTAGATCCCTGATGTTGTCCTCCTGCTGGAGGGGAATATTGTTAATGGTGTAATCGAAGTATATAATATTATTTTTTAGCGTAATTGTTATATATTTACATTTTTGTACATTCAGTGGTAATTTGTTTGTCTCACACCATTCGTTCAGTCTATTCAAGTCCTGTTGAAGTAGTTCACAATCATTTGAGGTTTTGATTGATCTATAGATTTTCATATCGTCTGCAAATAAAAGCATATTGCTACTAATGACATCGCAAATATCATTTATGAATAGTGAGAAGAATAAGGGTGCCAAGTTACTTCCCTGAGGAGCTCCGCTTGAGACTTTGAATTCATATGATCGGTGGCCTCTGTATTCAACGTATTGTATACGATTTGCAAGGTAGGATTTGATGAAGATCAATAAGTCTGTGTCAAATCCAAAGTAATCTAGTTTCTCGAGAAGCAAGAGATGATCAAGTTTGTCAAAGGCTTTCGAGAAATCTGTGTGTATTACATCAAGTTGAGAGAGATATAGCGATGAGGCAACACTGCGATATTATGAATTAAACTCCAACTAAACTACGCAACACTAATTTCGTCACACCCCAAAATTTTGTCCCTGTTAAAACCCTCTCGCTCACGAATTAAGATTTATGAATTTAAAAATCTGAATATTTTTATACAGTATGTAAGATTTTTTTGCAATTTTTTGATATATATTTTTTTATGTTCGAAATGTTCCTAAGAGCCCTAGGGCATGTCCACAAATGAGGACAGTGTGAGCCAACGGAGTAAAAATTCTATGAAAATATAATATGAAATAAAAGGAGATCACGTTATCAATATCATATAATGGATATTTTACTGACCATTATTGTTCACATTCAAAAGCGAAAAAATCCGAGAAAATTGTTGATGTAGTCCAGTAGAAGTTATAATCAATAGAAACCTCTGTTGGCTTCTTTCTAATTTTTTCCCCAGAAAATGTTCGACATGGCAAAATATATTTAGAAATGAATAGCGAAAAGACCCGAAAAAATTGTTGATGCAGTCCAGTAGAAGTAATGATCAAAGAAACCTCTATGGCTTCTTCTTGATATTATTGTCCAGAAAATATTCGCTGTCTTGCTAGCATTTCAATCCGGAACCGATATCGTGGGTGTAATTATGTACAGATGTTACACGTTCTTCTTTTTTTCTAAATAAACTAGAGGGCTTCGAATTCAGAACCGTAGGGGCTCGTCCTATATCGATCTTCCTGAATGAATTTTAATGAAGATTACATTTTTTTATAGAATCGGAAAGGTATAAAAAGAAATAAATTCGAATATATCAACCCTACTTTACACCCTTGATACTTAACCTTTCAGTAGTCGCGCCTTAAAAAGGACATAGTCTGTCGCTGCGGAGTCTGACTCCGCAATGGAGAATTTGGGTGGTTTGAACATGATGACTTGAATTTTTCTAAAGATTCCATCAGTATGCCTTTGGACATAAATATCTCTACGAAGTAAAATGTCAAAATTGCAATAAAAATATATTTTCTAAATAACAAAACCCAAAATTAACATGAGACAACTATCGAAGATTTGATAACTAGAATTAACAAAAAAACACTATGATCTGAGGACAAACTGAAAATATTCCAATCTCAAACCACCAATGACTCATCGGCAATCTCTGTAAATGAATAAAGTGGGTTCTAATAAGCACATGAATTTTTCACATGTACTACAATTAAATTGGGTGTGTCTATTTTTTTTATCACAGTAGCATCGATCATGTGTGTTTACAAAACGGTATTTTATGAAATAACATCCATCAAATGGGACAAAATTTTTGCCTAAAACGCCCAAAATAGCTGCAAAGTGTAACTGCAATATGCAATATATCTAAGACGTCTAAGGTCGCTGCGGAGTACGACTCCGCACTACGTTATGAAATTCAAAAACGAAGCAATTTTGCACATCGGTAATACTCGATTCGTACTGAAGTCGTCATTTTAGGAATAAAGTATATTCGAGAAAACTCACGTTTTATATTCGTGCGGAGTGATACTCCGCGTGCAACTACTGGAAGGTTAAATAAATATAATAATATCTGATAGATGGTTAGAGAATCTTGGTCAAAAATTTACAAAATCGGAGTACATAATAGAAAAATAATATAAGTTTTAAATACCTTGTCCCTATGGGAGAATTTGAATTACACACCCATTAACTTCGTAAGTATCAGTAAGTATTGACATATTTGGAGTTTTTGGAAAATACTCCTACTTTCTGAAGAAGACTATTCTCATTAAAAAACAAAAGCAGCGATAAGTAGGATGCTTTTTCTTTAAGTTCTGCTTCGAAGATGGCGTATGGCGGGCTGGTAACAGAATAAGTTCCTTTGGAAAAAACCTTCATGTTGCTGCTGGTTTTTTAATGAGAGAAAAGTTGAAGATAAAACACAAAAAGTACATTGCAATAGCTTCAGATATTAAGTTGAAAGGTGTAAGTAATAGTCGTACCTATAGCTACTATCTATAACTAAATATAACAATTATTGTTTGAAAGTCCACTCTCTGAAATTTGGCTACCATGTAAAGTGTTAAGCTCAGAGCCTATAGGGCGATTAAGCGATTATATTTCAACAGTTTTATTGTTTATTTTTGCAAACATATTAACAACCAACTTCCTTTCTTACCGCCAGAGAAAAGTGCCCAGCATATTTTTTCGAATTGTTACCTCGGCAATTTTGGAGACCCCATTATCTCTAATAATAATAATAACAAAAATGTTAAGTATGCCGAAATATTTATACGCAGATTCATTCAATACCAACTAAATTATAATGGGAATAATCTAATATAAGTTAGTAGTGATGAGAGAATCATTGATTAAATTACAAATTAATATTATAAAGACACACGTATCGAAAACATAACCTAATATTTATCACAAGCAATATACAACTAAATGATTCTCATAATTGTCTACTCAAAACTCGCTAACGTCAGTAGAACCAACATTCTTCAGTAATCTGATATTCCTGTAAGCCTGCCCTCCCATTCCTAGCAAAATAAAGAACTGCACATAAAACAGCACCCCAATCAGCAACATCACGATAGTAATGAGCACAAACATCCACACCAACAGAGTGCTGTTGACGTAGGGATCTTGCAACTGCTCTTTGAGCTCGTCCAGCAACTCCTGAGAACTCTCTGTGGTCACCTTCGGACAATCGCGGTCTTTTCCGTTGCTCACCAAAACGACCACGTGGTCCTGCAAGAAGAGCGCTCTCAGCTGGTCCTCCATGATACAAGACAAAGAATTGTTCAACAGGTTGATGAATCTCAATCTTGGAGCCCTAGTAATCAGGCTCAAGTAGTCGAAATTCTGGATATTGTTGTTGGACAGGTCCATCTGCACCAAACTGTGCATTTGCAGCCTACCAGTGATCTTCAAGGAATCAATTTTGTTGTTAGACACATTGAGTATCCTTAGATGGGGCAAGCCTGAAAAATGCCCTGTATTGATACCCCGTAGCCTGTTGTCTCCTAAATTCAGTACAGTCAGCTTCGACAGCCCTTGGAACAACTTCAAGGTTATATTATCGAAGCTATTCCTGCTCAGATCCAGATCTTCCAAGTTCGTCAGGTTCTCAAACGCCCCAGGCAGGAAACTGGCAGAGGATAAATAGTTCTGAGACAGATTGAGAGTCCTCAAGCGGTTCTGAGGCTCGAGGTCGATACTGAAGTTGGTCATTGCGTTTCTGGCTAAGTTCAATGTTGTCAGAGACCTGAGCATCCTGAAATCCTGCCCCTGAAGTCGAAAGATGAAGTTATCGTTCAGGAGAAGTATTCTCAGGTTTACCAGAGGCTCGAAAATGTCTGAGGTGTTACCTAGAACGAGCTTGTTGTGGCTGAGATCAAGGAGCTTGAGATTGTGGAGACCTTCGAACGTTTTGGGACGGACCATCAACAGCTGGCTTCCTCTCAAGTCGAGGACTTCTAGAAGGTGCAATTCTTTGAAAACTCTAGGCTCTAGATTCGTCGTGGAGTTGCGCATCTCTAAGTACCTCACTTTCCTGATGCCTTCGAAAGCCCCAGTGGGGATTTTCTCGATGGGGTTGTTAGATAGCAAGAGCCTTTCCATGTGGATCATGCCTATGAAGGCCTTGGGCCAGATGAAGGTGATGGAGCTGTTCCTGATGTCGAGGGTTTTGATCTCGTTGCCGGGTATATCAAAAGTTGAGGCTTCTAGAAAATTGAGGTCGCAATTGAGGCACAGGAGGGTCTCGTCGAGGTAGTCGAAGCGATAGGTGGTGAGTTTGAAGAAATCTGAGGTTGCATTGGTGCATATGGCGGTGAGGGAGCCTCTTTGGCCGTAGCTGCAAGACATCGGTCGAAGGAAAGCTAGACTCGTGGTTGGGGCCAGCAGAAACACCAGAAACCATTTTATCTGTGAAGAAATCAACATACAGGGTGACAGTTTTGCAAACGAGCAGCATTTAATATTTATTCAACTGATGAAACTATAAAAATTTGGTAAAACATTTTTTTAGGGGATCAAACTTGAACGATGGAAACATTTTATTTATATAGACCTCAATCGCAGCTCAATTCAGAATTTCTTTCCACGTCCTGCATGATGAATATGAATGTATCATACATCCAAGAACAAATGCCCAGATGACAGAGGTTATGTCAAAAAATTATAATTCTCAGATATTAGTTCGTTATAGTTTTAGATGAAAATTATGTATTTCAAGAAGAATGGCTGAGAGAATATAACTGGACTTCAGACTGATGAGGATCTGATATCCGAAATGAGTTTTACTCGAGTGAAGTCATATAAGCTATTTGTGAGACAGTTGAAAGAATTAATATATCAGTTGCCACCATGGACGTATAGGGCGTTTGGTATGGCGAGATGATGTTTCTACGTCATAAGAGGGTCCGTTTTCAGAAGGTACTATTATTTATGTTCAAAAATAAAACATTCCAGTTAATTTCTCGATCGAATTATGTCGTCAATCATTATTTATGTATAGAAGGATCATTATAAACATGGTTTGAGTTAAAAGTTCTACTAAGGTGTACACGCCCATTCTCAAATTCAGAAGATTTTGTTTTCAAGTTCTTATCGTGTGTGTCAGTGTGTGTTCAATAGATGTAATTCAATGTTCGTCGTGGCATATAGCCAGGAAAGTAGTTGTTTTCTGTTGAATGAAACGAGAAAGAATTAATATTTCCATCAAAACATGTCAATTCGCGTATATCAAGGGGGACAACTTGTGATGTATTTGTTGTTATATTATACAGGGTGAGTCCTACTACGAATGGAGGCCCTTAAGGGGAATACCTAATGACCATCAGAAAGTGTCTGCTTCTCTTCTTCACCAATATATAGGGTGATTTATGAGATTTGACAATGAAACCATCTTTCGGTCATAACTTTCCAACAGCTCCTACGATTCTTCTGATTATTTCATGGAATATTTCTCTACTAAACCAAAATCGACTGACATTTTCAGAATCATTGAAATCCAGGTCCGTTTTTGAAAAATTTCGATAGTTTATTTTTTATCAAAAAGTTCACCCTGTATGTGGTTTTTGTAAACTGTAACAGTGAATTTCCAAAGCATACAAACAAACATCAAAAATGAAATATTCAAAATTCTTCTCACACTTCCACAGAATTTTTCAAAAAACGATAAATCATAAGCGAAAACGCAAGTCTGGCATAAAATTTATTTATTCGAAAATTCTCACTTCACAACGCATAAATTTCACAAATGAAAGTAAGACTCACATTTTCAATGCTTTAGCTCAATGGAAATCATCATGTTCTTTCATTTCCAGGTTAGATTTCATAATTTATTTTTTGTGGAGGGTAATAATCACCCTGTAGATCTTTTTCAAATCAGAGGATGGGGTATCTGTTTAGATGTTAATGGTCATCGATTCAAATGATTTAAGATAGTTGAACAAAAAATATAGGTTCATTCACAATTATTTTTCAAAAGCTATACTGGACAAAGGAGGATAATTATTGTAGTACGGAAAATAAGTGACCAAACTAACTGAATAAAACAAATCGAATAGATGAAACTGTGGATTGAACCAGATACCTCATCCACTGATTCGAAGGAGATCTACAGGATGATTATTATCCTCCACAAAAAAATAAATTACTGAATCCAGGCCTGAAAATAAAATAAAATAATATGTTGATTTCCTTTGAGCTGAAGCATTGAAAATGTAGAAACATAAGATACGTTTTCACTTCCTGATGAGAAGATATACAGGGAGCAGCAAAAAGTGTATGAATTTTTAATAGAACACCCTGTATATTTCGTCACCATTGGAGAGACCTTCAGAAGAGCTTTCCTAAAATATTGCACTTGATATAATGATCTTTATTTCTCAATAAAAAATAACAGAATTCTATCGATTTTTGATTGTTTCTGGGAAAAACGTCATAATGATTGCAAATTCAGGTATATATATCGCCATCTATGCCATTCAATTCCCATTGGAGGTGATAACTCAAAATCAATATTATAATCACTGACAAAGCCTTTATATGTATACTTTCCAAAATTATTCAAAATCAATCAAACTTTGTTAGTTTTGATAGCCCATATTTTGAGAGATACAAAAGATAAATATATGTTCATGGTATGGTATTTGTAGAAATGTCTCCAAGCGGTCTTTCCATTCGTGAGGAAATATATAGGGTGTTTCATATAAAATTCATACACTTTTTGCTGCTTCCTTTGTATGTTCCTGTTAATTCGAGAAGGCAAAAATATCCCCTGTATGGCTATCTTTGATTTTTTTCTTTAATGTCAAAAATAAAACAGTTATATGGGTTGGTACTTAACGTGTCAGCTGGTACTTGTGCTTACCATTACAAAACAGTGATCATCATTTAGGTTCGTATGCCACTACTTTCATTATCTTAATAAATTACAATCCGAAAATTCTTGAGGTAATGTAATGCTATTTAAAGTACAAAAATTAAAAAATATGTAACACATTTAGAATTACATAAGGATTTCAAAAATAACAAAATTAGTGGAGGTTGGCTATAGAAAATTAAAATTATGAATCAAAAGTCGTCCCCCTTGATTAACAAATCGAAGTGTCTCGCCAAAATTTCATATTGACATCAATTGAAGAAATATCAAAAGTGCTGCTGGTTCTTAAAATATCACCCTGTATTTAACAAAACACGTATCGTCGAAGAACTAGACTTGATGAATTATAAGGAACAGTGTATTTCATTTAAATAATTGAACTCGTGGTTTGTGACGCTTTTATAGGGATCATCCTTCAAACAACTGATAGGGTCACGTTGACTCAATAAAAAATTAATTCGCCTACTTAGGATTTTATTATATCGCTCCTGAAATCTTTCAGTCCATAAAATCGATAATTAGCCAGACGACGAAGCCAACAAAAGACACATTCCACAATAATTACCTATATACAATTATTAAACAATCACACCACTTCACGGATATCCGTCTTCGTTCCTTTCTGCCTCAGCAGCCATCAAATGCGAGGTGGAAATACTCCTTTTGCTGCTTCTCGATCTCACCTCCTGGTAGGTGCGATACTGCATGAAGAACAAGAACCCAATGCACATAAACACCACGCTCATAAGCACCATAATGGTGATCTCTGCCCCCGTGACTCTAGAAGACAAATTTTCCGCTGAAGCAGCAACAACATCTACCACCTGCAAGGATTTCTTCGGCGGTTCGTCCAGACACATCGAAGTTCCGTTACCAGCTTCACTGAGGACGAACTTGAAGTTGTCCTCTTGAAAATATGTTTCCATCTCGTCCTCCAAGCCGCAAGGCAGCAAATTGTGCTCCAGCCTCAGGTAAGACAGCCTCGGCAGCCTATCAATCAAAGCCACGTAGTCCAAGTCAGTCATGAGGTTGTGGGACAGGTCTAGAGCATGCAAGCTGTGCAAGGAAAACACGCCAGTGATTTCCACCACCACGATGCTGTTGTGGGAGCAATTGAGCACCTCCAGCTGCGGCAAAGCCGAGAAAGTGCCTGTTTGTAAGCTGCGCAGACCGTTGTACGCCAAATTGAGATCCCTCAGGCTGAATAGGCTGTGTAGAACCTTGTGTTCTACAGTCCCAACCTGGTTGTAGCTGAGATCTAGCAGCTCTAAAGCATGTAGCCCCTTGAGGAATTGTGGAGCTAGCGAAACGATGAGGTTGGATCTGAGCTGGAGGCTTCTCAGCTGGTTATTGGGTTTCAATTCGATGACGGGTGATGCTAGTTTGTTATTGGATAAGTTCAGCTCGGATAGAGAGGTTAGATTGAGGAATTCGTCGCCGTTGAGGCTTTGCAAGTGGTTGTTTTCCAGGTTCAACAGCTGCAAGGAGGTGAGGTTGGTGAGGACCTTTTGCAGCTCTCTGATTTTGTTGTTCTTCAGGTTGAGGTTCTTCAGTTTGCTGAGGCCATGGAAAGCGTACGCTGCTATGGTTTGTATGGAGTTGGTTTCTAGGTTGAGTTCCTCCATGTTCACTAATTCTAAGAAACCGTCGTCAGAGAGGATGTTCAATTGGTTGTGGGACAGATCGATGGATTTGATCTTCTTGATTCCGATGAAGGTGTTAGGGTAAATGGAGCGTATTTCGTTGTGGCTGAGCACTAGCTCTTCTAAGAATATGAGGCCTACGAAGCCTTTAGGGCGAATGTTTTCGATTTTGCTGTCATTGAGGACTAGTATTTTGATCTGGTTGCCAGATATGTCGAAAGTGCCTGCTTCTATGGTCTTCAAGGTGCAGTTTTGGCATTTGACTGTTTCGTCGAGTTGGTCGAAGCGGTAGGGGGTGGCTCTGAAGTAGGGGGGATTGGCGTTGAAGCACGTGGCGGTGAGAGAGCCCCTTTCCCCGTAAGAGCACTTCATGTTGTCGGGCGAGGTGGAACCGAAGGTGGTGAGAGCAGCCGTGGCTGTTGTAAGCATCAAGAGTGGCCATATCTGGAAACAAAGGGTTGGTTTTAGTTCTGCGGTCTCTCGGGCTTGTTTGCGTTGTTTATATTCGATTTGAGTTAAAAATTTGGATGTTTCTCCATATCGACTATCTGTGGCAACACGGATATATTATCGGGACGTGATTTCAGTACCAGTTACCGAATGAAACAATCGCATTGACCTTTGACATGCTATTCGATGTTTTTATCACTTCACTGTTCACAACAAACTGATGCACTACAGGAGACAAACTTCAAAGAATACGATCGATGCACATTTTTTTAAACATAATATAAAACAATAAATTATATGATTTCGATTCATCAATGAAATTCTTTTTTGGGAAATGTTTATATGGACTTGTTCAACAAAGTGTGGCCACCAACTTTTCTGTAAGATTTTTTCCTGAAATGTCAATGAATAGCAATAAGCAATTATTAATTTAATGACTGTTGGTAAACTTTTTTATGCAATGTACCATACCAACTCTATCTATATGCAAAAATAAGTTGCCTTCTTTCCAAAATAAACCCCAACAATATAAAGAATTATGTTTTGTACATTTATAAAAATAATTAAATATGACGTAAACAAGAGTATATGTACTTACTTGATGCAATGTTTTTCATTCTTACTATTTTGTTTCAATCACTATCAACAAATCACTGTTTCGCGAGAACGAATTCTTGTCTTTATACCTACTTGATAATTAACAGAAAAAAAATTTTTTGCTTTCGAAAAAATACCTGAATCTCAGAAGTCTCATATTATGTACCTGTTCCTCCCGAAAAATACAGACACAAACTCCGCCCTCAGAATCAAATTTGTTCTGTTTTCTTTTTCTCAATTGATTGAGAAAATTTCCAGGCACTCTATGCCTATATAGCTTGACTGGAATTGAGGAAAAATTTGAAATCATTAAAGAGGAGATTCATAACTGAATCTACGTCGAAAAAAATAGTTATCGAGCTATCAGATATTGGAGGAGTTTTTTTAATATAAAAATTGACAATAATGGTCAATGACACTACCATAATGACATACAATATACAGGTACCTGTTTCTTATGGAATTTATTCACAACAGAGTCACACCAAGTGTGGCCAGTCAAAAGTGGGACACCTTGTACAGATCAAAAATGAATTTTAACTTACGGTGATCTCCATCCTGCCTGGATGGGCGGAAACAAAATCAAAATCCACTTCCGATAACGTTATTTGATGTGGAAGAGACAGTTGATGGTGCGTCTTCAAGTTTTGTAACAAACTAACTTATCTCTCTACATATTAAGCGTATAAATAATATTTGCATTCGATAGTGAGAGCATCCGATTCTTGTTATTATTTGTTTTGAATATTATTGTGGCAAGATAGAGATTTCAGGGGTCAGGTCAAACACTTCTCATGGATATCCAGAAAAGGCAGGAATCCGAAAAATATTTTTCCTTTTTTCTTCAAACAACTTGCATCAAATATATGTATACATAATAAGGGAAAGGGCGATAATTTTGCTTTATCCAGATCACAGTAAATTTATGAATATATACAGTATGATGCAAATGTATGGAATAAATTCATTATTTCAGAAATGGGCGACATTTGAAAAAATTCCAAAAACACGTGAGTTTTATTTCTTGAAGCCTAATCTACGTTACCGGTATTGGAATGATGACGTAATGGACAATTTTTTCAAATACAAACAGGGGTCATGTGACACCTCGTTTGAAAGGTCTACTGATCGTCTATCCAACAATCAAAATTTTGCATAAGATGATTGAAATTTAAATGGATCGTCATTTGATTGACTGAATCGTTGATTGATATATTACGCTTACCCAGCGTAAGCGTAATATATCAATCAACGACTGAATCTTGCAGAGGTCTGCTACTATGAGAATTGAACATCGAATAAGGGTCGTCTTTAGTTGAAAAAATACATCAATTAAAAGAGTTCGAAACTCTAGTTTTCGTTTCGTTTTGAAACGAATTTATTCCATACATTTGCATCATACAGAGAATAAAAATTGAAAAGGAATATATTTGTACGACCGGTGTTTATATTATATTACAATTCTTACATACCTACTTTCTATAGGTATTGATATCTCCCTGTACACTTTTTTTAGAATCTACATCTACTGTGATTTGTAAAACTATAATCATATATTCCGATATTCCATCAATTTACTAGGATTTAGGTAGATATATAGGTATTCATTTCTTTTTTATTTTCTATGCTAGGTGAAAATTTGTTCTGTACATTTTGTACCAGTCATGACTAAATCTTGGTCTTGCTAATAATTACTGAAAAGCTCTGCTTGATATTCAGTTTCTACTAGTTATACATAAGTTATACCCATTTTTCACCTATTTAGCTCGAGTACTCGAGAATCTCGAGAAAACATTGTTCTGCCACCTATCGGCAGTCATGAGAACTTCACAGATCCCACGAGACGTTCAATTTCAATAGATGGCGCGACATAAACGGATTTGACGACGTGCAATTCAAGGTTATGTTATGTTGAATTTTTACAAAAAATCCTGAGCAATGGCCACTTGGCTTTATGTCATTTTTGTTTTGCAGAGACAACCCTCCAGAGCAACCAAAAACGAAGACGAAGTTCACCAAGAAAGTAAGAATTCATTTGAGGATAGAAACCTTCATTCTGAAGCAATCTATGAAGAATTTCACTGCCATCAGTGCCTAATGGTGCCTAGTATACAACCAAAGAATATCTCTTTGATACAACTACAATATCACAGTCACAGATACAATATCGTCCACACCTTTCAAAAGTTCTATATAATATTGTCTCCATCCATCCATCAATTCCATCATATATTATAGCTTGACACAGTTCATTGGACGTGATTGGAGACATTGATATTTTTATTTGGTATGTCCCATCACAAGTCATCATAGTATTTTATTGAACTGTCTATTCAATATGATATTCAGTAAATTTCCAAGTGCTAGTAAAATGTTCAAGGACTGTGCTCAAGTCTGGCTCAAGTGATGCTCAAGCTCAACCTGCTCAACATTGGAAATTATGTCAGATATGATACAAAACATTTGATGCCACCTATGGGGTTCCTGAGGAAACAAAGAGTCAAAGATGTGTTTAGATAGAAATGGTGAGTAAAGTAATATTACTTGTTTTTGGGGTCTTTAGAAATCAATTTTTATGCAGAATTGAAAGATTCTAGAGAAAATCTTTCTAAGAGTTTGCATTTTATCATATGAATAATTGTATTGGATTCAACTTTACAATTTGTTGCAAGATTTTTGTGTTCAGTTGAAAAAACACAATATTCAGCAAATTAGAAGCTTACTTATTGTAAATAGAAAACCTGCAGTCTGCAGTCACTTGCAATTTATTGCCTTCTGAATAAATCATATATGTGGTAAAATATTTTTATTCAAAATAATTAAGGTGTACATTAACATTTAATACCTAAGTCATCACAAAAATAATATCAGCCTATAACATGTGTGCAAATTTATTTGTCTTCTTTATTATGAACTCTTGTTGATAAGGGCATGAATTTGAATGTAATATGCACTTCACTATCTGAAAATTGATTCTTTCACTTTCAAAAACTATTTGCCCACCTGATTTTGAAATAATTCAGTGACATTCGGTGACATTAATGTTATACAATTTTTCCCCAAAAATATTTATAGCCAGTGATACATATATCATAGTTTGCTAGGACTGCTTTGAGAATAGGCACTATAATAATTATTATACCCATAAAAATGTTTGCAGGCTTATATTTTACTTGGTATAATTCACAGGAGGATTTCAAAATAAGATTTATACAAAAATATTTCTAAAAGCTTATCTTATGTTGAAAAAAGCTTCATGAACGAGGTAGCCCTGTATGTGTTACATGTTACAGGGTGTGAATAAATAATTGTAAAAATATGTAGGGAAGTATTATTGAAAATAAAACGAAGTGTTATTGGCTTATTTGTCGAAACTATAGCACAGCAAAAGCCATCAACAGTGTATACAGGGTGTTACTTAATTGATGGCTAAAAATTCAGGATATGGTTCCTAAGCTCTCAACTTAAGAGCTATAGGTTGTTGGAATATCAAGAAAAAAGTCGTTATCATATCTTCAATACTGTTCTAAATATTTTCATAAAATTTGACATGTGCCAATGGGCATTTTTTGATGCTGTAGATTTTTTAATAATTTTACCACTGGCGTCCGTATGGAATGTATTCTGAAGATTAAAAAAAAATTGTACTCCCTTGCTTTTTGTAAACGAAAATAAAATGATAGTCACTTTTTTCCCGTGGGCAAAAAGTAATTTATGAAAACTAACATTGCATAACCTGCCAACAGATATGAAATGTCAAACTCATTTCCCGTCACAGAAAAAAAATCATATAAGGCATTTTCTTCATAGAATATGTCAAGGAGTCCTTTCCTTGAATGTTCGACACTTATTCATCGCACCCTGTATCACGAGATTCACGTCAATCGTGAGATCCACCATCTCCACCACCTCCACTGTCACAACCCCCTCCTCCATTGTCCCCACCTCCTCCACTATCCCCACCTCCTCCACTATCCCCACCTCCTCCAGAAGTATTTTGATCGCCATCTTGACAACCCCCTCCAGAATCCTCGTGATGTCCATGGCTGTCAGCCTCTTCCCCAATATTCCCCACTCCTTCCCCCACATTACTCTCATCCCCATCTCGACCAACCCCCTCGGCAGCCCCATGGGCGTCCCTGCTCCCATTGTGGTGGTTCCGTTGCGCCCAATCGTGGCTGGGTGGATCGCAGCTGCCCCTTTTGCTGTCCCACTTGATGACGTCATCGTAGGCGGGAGGCGGCGTCAAGGGTTCGTGGGAATCGATGGGAGCGGTGGGAGCGAATATCTCGGTGGCCATGATGGGGATGAGAATGTCATGGTTGGTTTCGGGGACGTCAATTTCGTAGTCGTTAGGGGTGGTTTCCCTTCTGGGGACGGTGCTTCTAGGGTATTCTGTACGCCTGGTGGTGGTGGTGGTCAGTTTATTTTTGCATACCCAGCCTATGATGGCTATGACGATCGCTACCGCTAAGATTATCAGGAATATTCGCCATTTGGACATGCTTTTTGTGGGGGTGTGATCGACGTAAGCGTGATGCGAATTCCACGAATCGTCTCTGGAATATGTATTTGGGGGTGTTTTTTCCTCAGGGGTTCGGGTGTAATCGCATTCACTTGAACCGATGTAGTAGTCCCCTTTGTCCGAAAAGTATCTGTAGTAAGAAACTTGGTCCTCACAGGTGGCGGGATTGTTGGTTAAATGGAGAGTCTTGACTCCGATGTCGCCTAGTTCTGTTACCGGAAGATAGTTGATTTTGTTATAGGATAGATCAAGTTCCCTGATCCTTGGATGAGAAAATAAATGATTATTGCCGAGGTCTACGCGTGTTATCATATTGTGGGAACAATCGAGCAAACCCACCTCTAGGCTTTCGCCGAACATGTTCAACCGCAACGTTTCCAGGTCGTTGTAAGAAAGATCCAGCTTCTGCATGGATAACACTGCTGAAATCGCTTCTTCATCTATGAATGCCATTCCGTTGTAGCTCAGATCGATCTCAACTATCATGGAGAATTTGGGAAGGAAGTTGCCTTTTAACCCGAATATTTGGTTACCTTTGAAAACTAGAGTTGGCTGCCCTACTAAAATAGCTTTCGCCAGATAAACATTTCGAATATAGTTATAACCTACGTTTATGAAACTGATGAAACTGTTGGAATCGATGTCATCATGGTCGAGAGTCTTCAGTTTGTTGAACTCCAAATTCAACCATAAAAGACTCTTCAATGGCTTGAAAACATTACGTAACATATTAATTTGATTGTACCCTAGATCGAGGCTTCGGAGTTGGATCAAACCTGAGAATCCGCTTGTTTCTATTTTCACCATACCATTGTGGGAAATATTCAGGTGGGTCAATTGAGTCAAGTTGGCGAAAGTATCATTCCGGAGGGAACCAATGCTGTTGAAGGAGAGATCTAGGTGAGCCACGTTTCGAAGACCGACAAGCGTTTCTGATGATAAGACGTAGAGGGAATTGTGGCTGAGGTCGAGCTTCTTCAGACCTGTCAAAAGGGCGAACGTTTTCGGTTGGATATGGTTGATGTAGCTCTTTTTCAGTACCAGCTCTTCGATGCAATTTTCCGAAAAGTTGAAAGCAGTTGGGTCCAATTTTTCCAGGAAACAATTGGTGCAAGTGACAGTTTTGTTGTGCGGTTCGTAGTCTATGGTACTATCGATATTTATCTTCAAGCATGGTAAGTCCTCAGCTGAGCTGACTAGAAGGATATATGCAAGAAATGCAAATATTTTCCGTTTTACCTGAAAATGAAAAGATTCATAAAATGATCACTCGAAGCTTTAAGTTCATGCAAAGTTTTATAGCTGAATTATCAACTTATTTCTAAGTTACAACATGAAAAATATATGTCAAGGGCGGAAAAGACATTTTGCGCAAGAGTTTAGGTACAAAGCTTTTCCTACGAGTGTTTTTTTGTCAATATTATCTATTAAAAATGGTTCTTAATGAACAATATTTAATAATGATGCTGCAAAATGACACATAAGATAGAATAGTTACAATACAAAAATCATACGGAAAATTACAACTTTCAAAACGAAAAATCATGCGGAATTAGTATATTGTTTAACAAGCATGAAATGATAGTGATTTCCTACGAGAATGAAATTTGCAGCATAAGTCATAGGCGAATGCTGCAATCATTCGAGTAGGAGCATTCCGTGCAAGTTATGCACTATAATTTTTCTACGGCTATAATAGATAAGAGCGGCATTTTCGATTACTCCGTCTTGTAGCCATCTGATTTCCTGTCCATTAATCTATTAGAAAGCTGTCAATGCTTGAAATTTGACATTCCATATGGGCGATACGTAGACCTCCACGTCGACGTTAACGTACGAAAAATAACGTTTACGTATTTTCGTTAAATTGAGTTGCCACTTTGGTCGTCACTGTCATCATAACGTAATAATACATTTTGTTTTTGGTTTGTATTGGTCATTTTTTGTTGGGTGTTTAGATTCGAACATTTATTCCTGTCAAAATTAGAGGACTCCTTGATGCAGAACTCGTTAGTGATCTCGAATTTGATAATTTTGACTCATCGGCATATTTCGAGTATAGTTTGGTTAACGTACGTTGATATTTAAGGTATACGTGTAGGAACGTGAGATAACGTACACCCGTAAGCCCACTAACAACGCAAACGTGAAGAATTGAAAAATGCGCATGCGTAGCTGTCATTTTCTACGTTTACGTTAACGTTCATGACAACACTTCAACTCTCTATTGTGATATCAGATACGGAAATAAAATTGATGACATACAAAGTACCTCATATTGATGTATCGAACACAGTACAACAAGAACAATCTAGTTGTTATAGCCGTAGAAAAAGTCCCTTTTCCGCACGCTCGTAGGAAAAACTATTTCTTCATTAAGGTTGGTCACTTACTTTTGCCATCAATTCTGAAAGGTGTATAGTTTTATTCCAACTATGTTTCAGCAGGACGCCTCTGGCTGGAATGATAAATTAGTTTATAATTTAGTCAATATCGCCATAGCCTTGACTATGATTAGATGATATAACACATTTTTAAGAGTGTAGGTACACAAAGTTAGATGGCTAATGTTGATAAACATAGGCATTCGGCATTCATACTATAATAGGAATGTTCACGAATCACTTAATTATATTTTGATTTCGAAACTTACTGATGGGTACTCCTGATTGATGTCTTCAACATTCCACTGCGTTTAGCGAAAAACGAAACGAATGATAAACAAAACACCGTTCAGCGTGGTTCAGCGAATGCCGATTTGCAATTTCTTGAATCGACTGTCGGACTGGCGCCCATCCCAGTCGGTTGGGCGCCGTTGCCACATCTAATTCGATATCCTATCGAGCAGGATCGTTGCAGGACAATAAAATGTCGGGTCAACTGGTGTTTCGCTGTCGTAGTTTTGTAGCTAGACCTGTGGCTAGACGCTAGACGTTCTAGACTCTAGAGCATGAGCGTAGCCTGGCACTTTTTTTGAGTGTGGGGGAGCTCTGGTGGCATTATACTGGCTATATTCCGAATTCAACTGACAGTACTGAATCTGCTGATTTTTCATTCCGAAATCAAAAAAATCACTGAAAGTGACAGATACTTGTGAGCAGTTATACTATTCATTCGAAATAATTCGAATCAACATTCTGCTGAAATTGCTGACTATCAAAGGTTAGTGTGGCTCCAGTGAACTGTCATTATTTTAGAGGAGGAAGGAATGTTACATTTATTTTCGTTGGCTTTCAAACTTTTAGTCTTATCTTATCAATGATAAATCAATAATATATTCGATATCAGAAAATGCTGTTATCAAAATAATTGATGGTGAGGATGATATTCAAATTTCACCAGCTGATCAACTGCTTGAGATACTGCGATGGAAACCATGAAAACGTGTTCCGAATTACAGCACAATATTTATGATTTTATATTTCGGAACACAGATTTTCAGCAGAGTCAGCAGATTTATTGACAGTACTGACCAGTTGAATTCGTAATATAGCCACTGATACCGCACCCTAGGGTCCCTTGATGTAAATTGACGTATTTGTCATCTTAACAGGGTACGGTCAGATCCTCGTCTCCTCTCACTCTAAAGTGTTTGTGAAACAGTTATATAGTTCCATCCTTATTCAATTCTGGGGATAAACACTGGATTTCTGCGTTGATTGATATATTACGCTTACGCTGGAAATATGCCTGAAAATAGCAAAAATTGCAAAAATTCCTGGAAATTGCTAAAATCGCAAAAATGCCTGAAAATTGCAATTTTTGCGACTTTTGCAATTTTCAAGAATTTTTGCGATTTTTGCAATTTTCAGTCATTTTTGCGATTTTTGCAATTTTCAGGAATTTTTGCGATTTTTGCAATTTTCAGGCATTTTTGCGATTTTTGCAATTTTCAGGAATTTTTGCGATTTTTGCAATTTTCAGGCATTTTTGCGATTTTTGCAATTTTCAGGCATTTTTGCGATTTTTTTCAATTTTCAGGAATTTTTGCGATTTTTGCAATTTTCAGGAAGTTTTGCGATTTTTGCAATTTTCAGGCATTTTTGCGATTTTGCAATTTTCAAGAATTTTTGGGATTTTTGCAATTTTCAGGAATTTTTGGGATTTTTGCAATTTTCAGGAATTTTTGCAATTTTCATGCATTTTTGCGATTTTTGCAATTTTCAGGAATTTTTGGGAATTTTGCAATTTTCAGGAATTTTTGCGATTTTTGCAATTTTCAGGAATTTTTGCAATTTTCAGGCATTTTTGCGATTTTTGCAATTTTCAGGCATTTTTGCGATTTTTGCTATTTTCAGGCATTTTTGCGATTTTTGCAATTTTCAGGAATTTTTGCGATTTTTGCAATTTTCAGGCATTTTTGCGATTTTTGCAATTTTCAGGAATTTTTGGGATTTTTGCAATTTTCAGGAATTTTTGGGATTTTTGCAATTTTCAGGAATTTTTGCGATTTTTGCAATTTTCATGCATTTTTGCGATTTTTGCAATTTTCAGGAATTTTTGGGATTTTTGCAATTTTCAGGAATTTTTGCGATTTTTGCAATTTTCAGGAATTTTTGCAATTTTCAGGAATTTTTGCGATTTTTGCAATTTTCAGGAATTTTTGCGATTTTTGCAATTTTCAGTCATTTTTGCGATTTTTGCAATTTTCAGGAATTTTTGCGATTTTTGCAATTTTCAGGAATTTTTGCGATTTTTGCAATTTTCAGTCATTTTTGCGATTTTTGCAATTTTCAGGAATTTTTGCGATTTTTGCAATTTTCAGGAATTTTTGCGATTTTTTCAATTTTCAGGAATTTTTGCGATTTTTGCAATTTTCAGTCATTTCTGCGATTTTTGCAATTTTCAGTCATTTTTGCGATTTTTGCAATTTTCAGGAATTTTTGCGATTTTTGCAATTTTCAGGCATTTTTGCGATTTTTGCAATTTTCAGGAATTTTTGCGATTTTTGCAATTTTCAGGCATTTTTGCGATTTTTGCAATTTTCAAGAATTTTTGCGATTTTTGCAATTTTCAGTCATTTTTGCGATTTTTGCAATTTTCAGGAATTTTTGCGATTTTTGCAATTTTCAGGCATTTTTGCGATTTTTGCAATTTTCAGGAATTTTTGCGATTTTTGCAATTTTCAGGCATTTTTGCGATTTTTGCA